GGCGCTCCGGCCCCCTGGCGGCCAGCAGCGTGCGGCCCAGCAGCGCGTAGCAGGCTGCCATGACGCCCAGCGGCAGCGCGAAGCCCAGGGCCACCTGCGCCACCGCGCTCGCCCCCTTCACGGTCTGCGCGAGGCCCTCGGGGAAGATGAGACGGCAGCGCCGCTGCCCTTCCCGCTGCCCGTCTTGGCTGAAAAGAAGAGCAGGCAGTGCCAGGAGCAGCGACAGCAGCCACACGATGACTGAGACCAAATGTGCTCTGCCTGGCCCCGAGGGCCTCGGTCCAGCCGGGAGGGCCCGCGTAATGGCCAAGTAGCGGTCGGCGCTAATGCAGGCCAGGAAGAGGAAGCCTGCATGGAAAGAGGCCGAGTAGAGGCCCGAGACGGCACGGCAGGTGGCGCTTCCCAGACTCCAGCCCTGCAGAGCCCCCGCTGCGGCAAAGGGCAGGGTCAGGGCCAGCAGAAGGTCGGCCAGGGCCAGCTGCAGCAGGTGGGCGCAGGTGGGTGAGCGGGCGGCGTTTCGGGCTGCCAGGTGGGTGGCCAGGACCAGGCCGTTGCCTGCCAGACCCAGGGCAGCCACCGTCAGGGAGATACTGGATTGGAAGGCGCGACTGAAGGCCTGGACATCCGCCTTGTAGCAAAGCTCTGGCAAAGGCTCAGCCGAGTAGGCCTCCTCGTCGTCTCCAGAATATGAGCCCCAGGAGACCTGGGGAGGGCAAAATGAGACAAGAGACCCTATGAGTCCTTATCTTCCCATTCACACAAAACAGGCTTTGGCTTCCCTTGCCCCCCCCCTCCCCCCTTGCCTCTGCATCCAGCTTTCTGGGTGACCTTGAGCAAGCCACTTGCTCTTTCTGGGTCTCAGTTGCCTAATATGTAGTAGGGTTGTTTGAAATAGGAAGATAATGGATGTGAAGCATCTGTGCTCTTCATAGGCCAAGGGTTTGTATTATTAATAAAACGGGGAGCTTCAGTTCTGCTTGCAGCGCCCTCTCCTGGAAGTACTCGCACACGCAGGCTTTGCCTCAGACCCTGTGGCCAGACTCTACACTCCGTCTCCTTTCCCTTTTCCCCTCCCCAAAGCCCACCTCTACCGCCAGTGCACTGACAAACTCATGACAAGCGGGTCTCAAGAATTGGGGCTCAGGTCTGCCGTTGCATCTTGGACCTCTACGTTCAGCTCACTCTTCCCTTCAGCCCGAGTCCTGTCCCCCAACCGCAGCCTCACATCACCAGCCCCATTTATCTGGAGGCCCCTGATCCCACAGGCTTCAGGAATCCTGTATAGGTCAGAGCCTGGGGGAGGCCTGTCGCCAGGTGTGGAAGGAACCCCATGCCTTCACCTTACCCTCCCTCTCTGTAATCCTTCCTCCCCCCTTCCCCCACTCCCACCTGCTCTGTGGGCTCGGTCCCCATCTCTGGCTACGCCGGTTTCTGAGGTAAAGCCACCGGGGAGAGAAGTTAAACTAGTGGGACAGGAAGGAAGGGGCGGGGAGAGCGGCCACGAGGGTGGTGGGTGTTAGGGTCTGTGAGCCCTCTCTACCCAACTTACCCATTCCACTCCCTAAAAAACAATTTCCCTACCAGTAGAAAGAGAATGGGTTTTAGAATATCTCATTTGCTAGCTGCCTGTGTGATGGTGTTTTGTGTGTGTGTGTGTGTTTAACCTCTCTGAGCCTCAGGGTTTTTATCTGCAAAATAGAGTAAAATAAAAATGCTGAATTCACAGGATAATGAGGATGCCTAGAAAGGGTGCTTGCAACATCCTGTGCCTTCGGAAAATGTTAAAATCTTTTACATACTCTTCTCCCCATATCCAGCCCCCCGTCCCCCATGGATTTTTCACGACCTTCCTTCCCCCTCGCCTGCGACCACAGCCACTGCCAGCCTCAGGTTATTCAGGGTATTTCCCGATGCCTGGAGGCTCTCTACCCCCGCCCTTCACAGCCAGGCTGAGGCGCGCGCTTGCGCGGAGTCCGGGAAAGCTGCGCTCGTTAGGAGAGAGAGGCTGGGGAAGGGGGGAGGTGAGAGGAGAGAGGGTGGAAAGGAGAGAGCAGCATAGAACCTGGAACGACTGAGAGGGGGGAGGCGAGGGGAGAAGGGTTGGGGAGGGGTAAGGGAAGAGGGGTGGGTGGGTAAGGAGGAGAGACAGTGACCCGCTGAGAACCCCAGGAGAGCTCGGAGCCGGAGCCGGAGCTGGAGCCGGAGCCCTAGCCCGAACTGGGCACTGGGAGGCGGCCGCGGAGACCCTTGAGCCCTGCAGGATGCGTCTCCGGCTCTTCTGCATCCTGCTCGCCGCGGTCTCAGGGGCCCAGGGCTGGGGCTACTGTGAGTTTGGGTCGGCGGCCGGAGCGCGCGCCCGGTGCTGGGGTTGGGCTCGGAGCCGAGGATAGAGTCGGCCCGGCTGGGATTTGGCACTACGATCCAAGCCAGAGCTAGTGCCGCGGTTTGAGGGTTGGGGATAAAAGTGTTACTGGCGACCCGGGCTAGGATTAAGGTGTTGCCAGGGGCTGGGTTTGGGCTTGGAACTGGCCCAGGGGCTAGGGTTTGGGGTTGGGGGCTGGACTTGGGGACTGGGATCCAAGGTGGAGTTGGTGCCAGATTGATGCTAAGGTTGGACACAGAACTGGTGATGGTGTCAGGACTGGCCGGGGTTGGGACCAAGGCCTGGATCTGGAATTGGTGCAGGTTTGCGGATGCTGATGATGGGACTGATGCTCAAGCTGGGCTGGATTGGTGTCTTGGGCTGACTCAGGTTCTGAAAGATGCTGAGTTTGAGATTGTGTTTTGGGGAGTACTGAGCCCGATTAACACCATGGCAGGAACAGGGCCAGGGAGGGTCTGGCCTAGGAGTTTCCCCAGAAGAAGATAGCCTCCCCTGAGTGTGTCCCGGTTGCTGCAGCCGGCCGTTAAGTTAGGGCTGGGTCTGCTGCTGGGGACCTGAGAAGGAGGAGCTCCAGTGGCTCAGTGTGCGGGGGGCCTTGGGGAAGACCTGGGAGGGGCTGACCTGTCCCCTCTGTCTGTCCCCCGAACCCAGACGGCTGTGATGAGGAGCTGGTGGGGCCCTTGTACTACCGCTCCCTGGGTGCCTCCTCCTACTATGGGCTCTTTACAGCTCCACGCTTCGCCCGACTGCACGGTGAGCCTGGCCCCAGGAAGCAGGGAGGGACGCTGGGAGGCTGGGAGTAAAGGGGGAGCCAGTGATGAAAGCCCTGGTCCCTTCTATAGGCATAAGTGGATGGTCTCCCCGGACTGGTGACCCGAATCCCTGGCTCCAGATCGACCTTATGAAGAAGCACCGGATCCGGGCGGTGGCCACACAAGGCTCCTTCAACTCTTGGGACTGGGTCACACGGTACATGCTGCTCTATGGTGACCGAGTGGACAGCTGGACCCCGTTCTACCAACAAGGGCACAATGCGGTACTCCAGCTCCTGCATACACTCTTGGGGAACCTCCTCAGTTTTGCAGCCTGGGCTGGGCATTCATTAGCTTATGGGGAAGGGGCGGGGGCGGGGTGAGGGCACAGGTTAGGAGCAGTGGCTTCCACTGGGAGACTCTGTTCAGAAGGACGGTGAGCTCACAGGTGGACAAGACACTCCCGGGGACAGGGTTCCACAACCTTAGAGAGCTTCTTTTTTTTTAAAAAAAAATATATTTTATTGATTTTTTTACAGAGAGGAAGGGAGAGAGATAGAGTTAGAAACATCGATCAGCTGCCTCCTGCACATCTCCCACTGGGGATGCGCCCGCAACCCAGGTACATGCCCTTGACTGGAATCGAACCTGGGACCCTTCAGTCCGCAGGCAGACGCTCTATCCAGAGCCAAACCGGTCTCGGCCTTAGAGAGCTTCTTGAAGGAGGTGACCCCTGAGCTGAGCTTTGAGGAAGTAATGAGATAGTGGCAGAGGACACTCCGGGCGAGGAGATCACTGTGTGCCTAAAGCCCTGCAGGCGGGAGATCAAGGAGCGTTTGCTTTTGCAAAGTCCAGATTGTCTGGCGGTGACACCTGTGGGCTGGGAAACAAGCCGAGGGTGGGGACCGGTCACTCCCCCCTCTCCCCCCGCAGACCTTCTTCGGGAACGTGAACGAGTCGGCCGTGGTGCGCCACGACCTGCACTACCACTTCACCGCGCGGTACATCCGCATCGTGCCCTTGGCGTGGAACCCGCGGGGCAAGATCGGCCTGAGGCTGGGCCTCTACGGCTGTCCTTACAGTAAGAGTGC